TATTAATAGTATTATTATTTTTTCTCTTCTTCTTTCTTTTCTTTTTCTTTTACTCCATTTTTTCTTCTTTCTTGTTACTCTTTTTTAATCCATGACCTTCTTTTCTTGTCCTGGTGATTTTCGTTTTCATTTTCATACTTTTGATTCTATATTTTCCTTGCTTGTTTTCTTCATCATATCTTCTCGCGAATTTTTCTTTGTCCTATTTCCTTTTTTACTTTTTGTTTATTTTCTCTATTAAAACTCAGTGTCCTCTTTCTAATAATATACATATAATCACATTTTTCTTATAATGTATATATTTTATTCTTCTTCGTCTTCCAATTCTTCACGCAATTTCACCATGAAGATTTCTATCCAGTCTCTGCTCGATTCTTAAGTATCTATTTGGACGTCCTCCAATTTCAACAAACGAAAATAAAAGGAAAGTAAATGCCCTAAACATTTTTTGCTATATTTATCCGTCTACCGTTGCACCCGTTGTTTAAAAATAGAGGAAGGACGAAAGCAGAGTTGAAAAAATGTCTAGATTTTTATTAACCTTTTTTGTAGTTTTTCTGATTTGTGTGTACCCATGCAGATGGACTTTTTGAAAATGAAAAGTAGTGATGAAAGGAGACAGTGACGTAGCTGGAATGACACAGAATAGCAAAAGATCAGAGGATTACAAGGGAGACGAACAGGGGAAGAAAAGACACAAGTAAAAGTTTGTGCTCTCAGAACAAGCTCGATTCTTTCGTAGAAGTACATATATGATCATATCACACATGTCACTATCTTTTCGTGCATACCTGTAGTGCTTTCAACATGAAGAATATCATATGAGATCATATATAAATAATAAATATGTTAGTTGAATGTCGCATACATATGAATATATATATATATATACACACCCAGACACACAAACACACACATATATATGTGTATATATATATATATATATATATATATATATATATATATATATATATATATATATATATATATATATTTTCGTTAAAATTAGAATTAAATGTTGGTTTGTTTAATAAAATAAACATTTTGTGAGTCAGTTTTAAAATATATTCAGTTTTGTTATATATATTAGTTTTTCAGTTTTGTTATATATATTAGAGGGCGCAGCTTATATTTTATATCATAAAGAAACAATTTATACCAAGACTTAAATATCAATGTTAATGTGATTAATGGCGAAATCACTTCGCTAACAGGACTTAAGGAAATATTAACTTACTTTCAATCCCATGAATAATAAAACACTTATATTCCAGTTGTTGTTAGATGGAAGATATGCCAAGTACATTCGACAATTTTAAATTTTCATCTCCTGTGTGCAATCATATTACATATAGGCAAATATTAAGGCGAAATATGTGTACGCCGAAAGATAACAATTTCAAATTATCGAAGTACGTGGTATGTGTGTCATCTGACAACAATACGAATGTAAGGATATTATTATTCAAGGAACTGAAAATAAGTTAATGTCTCAATTAAGTCATTTTAGCGAAGTGATTTCGCAATTAATCCCATTGGTATTTAATTCGTTTTATAAATCGTTTCATTACAATAGTATGTATGTATATATACATACATACATACATACATACATATATATATATATATATATATATATATATATATATATATATATATATATATATATATATGTAAATACATGAAAAAAGTCGAAAGAAAAACTTAATTTAATCGACGTGTTTCATCCTCTTAATGGTCTGTATCAAGATAAATGTAAGGATTTTATTTGTGACGAGTACTTATATACAAGAGCAACAGATGCTATTTTACTTTTTTCAAATATTTGGTAAAAGTATGCTCATGAGTATTCGTTAGGTTTGCGGAAAATCAAGCAAGTTCATGGGCGTGAGGGGATAGAGTCGAATGCCTAATAAACAAATGTAAATAGGTGGTGAGTGTTACTCAAAAGACGGAACGCGTCAGCTAAGATAAGTTTTCTTTTTGATTTTCTTCATATTGTCCATTTACAGATAAACTCTATGGGTAATTTATATATATATATATATACATATGTATATAGATATATAAGAATAGTATTAATAAATAATATAATATATATGTATATATATATATATATATATATATATATATATATATATATATATATATATATATATATATAATCAAATCTCATGTGCCGTTGTCGGGCTGTCGGTTTCTTGAAACTGATCTGCCTGACAGGAGAGTCGACTATATATATATATATATATATATATATATATATATTTTTTATTGATTTATTTATATATTTTTATTGAAATTTATTTATATATATAATATATATATATATATATATATATATATATATATATATATATATGTGTGTGTGTGTGTGGGGGGGTGCTACATAATTGCAGAATAAGTACATTTGTGAAAGGACACTATGAAAAAAGACACTAATAAAACTGATCTTATTCGGCGTGTTTCGTCTTCTGAAGGAATGTATCATGGCAAATATAAGGATTTTATTTTGTGACAACGATTTGTGTAAAGGAGCAAAAAATCTACCCCATAAAATGTAAAATGAAAACTGACTTCTAGGTAAGTAAGTTAACAGGAAAATAGTTCAATTTATCGATTAATAGAACACTGGTAAGTGGCTTGATAGATGTGTTTAACGAACAAACACAATTAAGTAAATTTCCCCGAATTGGAAACAATTGTACAATTTCACTCTGTTTTTTTTTGTTTTTTTTTCAATACTTGCTTTATAATCAGAACGCAGACTGTTGCCTTTTTAGTAGAAAAGTTAAATAACTGTAAGGCACAAGACTTTCTTCTCTTTACAAATCGACGTCATCAATTCATTCAAACTAAATTTTAAAGAAATTAACTCAGTTAATCCTTTTTTTGATTCCTGCTTGAAAGAAAAAAAAATCTTATATTCTGAATGCTTTCCACAATAGAAAGTTCGATAATCATTAACCAGCAAATCGTCTTTGTAGAAATGGAAAAGAAATAGACAAATAAAAGAAAATATAAATGAAACACTGAAATAGACATTTTCTTTTCAATTTTAAGAGAATTTAAAATTGATTGCACACAGGATTTATCAAATTAACATTTTCCATAGAATTTGATTTTAGTGTAGCTAATTACAATCCTTTCTTTGATAGAGAGTTAAATCGATTAGATTGTGTTGTTATAATTTCTATTGTTTTATAATTTATTAACTATATTTAATAATTTTATTTAACAATTATAAGCATAACTGTATCCGAAACAAAAGCGGAGAAAATGTGTTTATTTTATTTTTAATGAAAGCTTAATAAACAGGCTGTTTCAGCGGCGTCTGTTGATGTAGGCTTCTTCAGGTAAGAATGAAAAATGAAACATGTGCAAAGAAAAGAGTTAATTAAGTTATCTTATCAGATTCGACAAACAGGATCCAGTATATATATATATATATATATATATATATATATATATATATATATATATATATATATATATATATATACTATATTTATAAGTTAAAGTGCATGATATCAAGGAGAGGAATATGAAAATATAAAATTGGACATTGAGGTCAACACCCAGCGGCTACAGTCTATTTTATTCAGTTACACTGCCACCGAGAGTGTGACGCAAATAATAAAAAAAACGCAACAAGAAACCAACCAAAAACACACCCACATGTAACTGCAAGCAAAGAACAACTGTCTCTTAAGTTGAAATTGCTTACAGCAAAATGTAATATATGAAGCTACTCTAAAATCAGCATATAAGGAAAAATATATGTACGAATTACTGAAAGACTTTTAAAAGAAAGAAACAATGCTCACGAAATATCATTGACAAATAGTAAATACGTGAACATCACAATGCTTTGTATACATATACAAAAAATAAAAACAAAAATCGAAACATACTAAAATATCATGGCAGATAAGGAAAATAGCATCAGTCTACTACAGTAAATCGGAACACTGTAGAGAAGATAATATCTATAAGTGCCTTCCCAGAAGAACAACTACTAAATAAATGATCATAACACATCTCAAAAAGCAGACCCGGAAACAAATATTTACTATTTTATTTAAAATATGTATACTAAAAACGAACAAAAACTACAAATAAAACAATAGGAAATAAAAAAAAAATGAATAAATAAAAATAAGTAAAATATATTAAACCAAAATCAATAAATAATGAACAATTATCTAACTAGGAACATTATATATATATATATATATATATATATATATATATATATATATATATATATATATATATATATATATTGTGTATGGTTATTTGGGGCGTTAGAACCGTTCCTCTCTCTTAAATTTAAAATCAGGCCACTCGAATTATACCTTTCTTTTCCACTAGTGACTCGCATAAATCATTGACTTGTTATTGCATTTGAGATGACCGGCGATAGAAGGTCTAGGCCTTAGTCTTATTATCGAGAATTGTGAGATTAGCATAATATCAATGTATTTCGTTTTTAGTGAATCAATCCTTCTCAGTGAAACATTTTGTCTTTTGCTGAGAGGTAAATTTCTTAAAAACCCATGCGTTTAAAGTGATGTCATGCACCTGCTATGTTCATATAGTTCTATTTTTTAGGATTTGCCGACCTATATTAATATATATATATATATATATATATATATATATATATATATATATATATATATATATATATATATATATAAACACACTCTCTCACACGCGCGCACACACACACACAAATATATATATATATATATATATATATATATATATATATATATATATATACATATGGGGGGTTTGCTTTCGGTTTGGGTTTCCGTGAGTTGTGTGTATGCTTGCCCAAAAATCATTAGTGGTTACGTCTAGAGAGATTACTATATAAAACTAAGCAAACGTACATTTTGTGTACGATCATAAGCTGTGCGTTGGTATGTATGTATGTGTGTGTGTGTTTGTGTGCGCTTTTATGGATGCATGTATGCATGTATATATAACGT